TGTTTTGCTGCTGGTTGTTTAGACCTTTCTGAACATGTGCAGCAAATGATGATCCAATGTGGATAAAAATCCTTTTTAGCAAAAGGGTTTGTATCAAAGACATAGTTAACGTGCACAGATAAGGAATAGTTGTATTAACCATTCATGTAAACAGAGTTTTATGGGGCCCCCCCTAATGGTAACACCATGTGATGTGCCTATATATTTGCATTTTGCCATAGATTTTTTTAGCTCTAGGTATGAATTCTGTGAAGTTAGGGTCAGTAGATGGCAGACTGATGCGGCGACGCCACCATAGAAGGCACTTGGGTCACAATATATATGACAGGGTCACAGATTTTGTTGTAACAGGCCACTTTGAGAAGGAAAACATCTAAATGTTGTAGGATTTTTTCACTCCAGGAATAGACTTGGGCAACCTTGATGTAGATTATTCTTTGAATAATTTCATGGGCTACAACGCCTTTAATGGCATGATTTTAGGCAAATGGCAGCTTATCCGAGGTGTATAATTTAGGCCTATCTCTTGTATACAGGGTTGCTAGCTCTGGGAAAATTAGCTAAGGGTCACTGCTCAGCCAGCCATTGTCACCCAGCCCACCGACATGAATTTATTTTTGCTTTTCATTGTGGGTGAATGTATTTATTTTTATTAAACATCTAAATCAAACCCAATTTTAATTAGATAGCTGACTTGGTTTCTTAATACTATTTATATAATATTTTTTAGGGAGAATTGGCGACCCTATTTGTATAACTGTTGGATTTTCTTTGATCTATTCACATTTATTCTGTAGGTTTGTTTCTTTAAGGCTGTTCAGATGCTGAGTGCTGCATTGAGTTCAGGAAAACTGGCAACAATAAAACGCAAGGAAGCAGTTTCAGGAAGTGCTGACTGGAATGAACAGATTCTAGATCTTTTGAGGTCACGTAGAACATTTTTATTTTTTATTAGTTTAAGGTCCCATTAATGTTTCCTGCATAATTTCANTTCAACATCAGCCAGTACCACGTTTAAAATAAATGCCATGCAGAAACATTGCTGTCTGCTTAGTTGTGCAGTTTTAAGCACTGTTGCTTTGCAGCACGAAGATCTTGGGTTTTTAAATCCTGAGGCGATGTGATCAATCCTTTTAATGTCATTTGTCTTAAATAAACATTTTTATATATATATATATATATATATATAGTTGTACACTCTAATAACATTTCATTTTCTTTCTAGGATTACTTGAAAACTTTGACGAGGTTTAAATTAAAAAACATATTTTTTGGAGGTAAATGGAAAATGCCACCTTTCCACTTTGTATTTCCTCTCACGAGAAGCATTTCATGTTTAAAAAATATTACTGCACTGAACTGGAAACTTTTTGTAATGAAATCAGGGAGGTCAATGGGAAGCCGTGCCGCAGCAGCCCTTGCCCGGCAGCTTAGTGATGAATCTGAGGAGGCAGTGCAGGGCGTCATCTGCCTCTCTTTTCCACTACACCCACCAGGAAAGACCCACGCCTATCACCAGCGGAGTGAAGATTTAAAAAAGCTGCCTGAAAGTGTTCATGTGCTGTTTGTCTCTGGCACAGAGGACAACATGTGTAACAGGGTGAGTGTTAAAATGTTCTAGATAGAAAGAAAAAATTATATCCTGACATGGAGGAATGTTTCAATATTTATTGGATTAACTGATCTACCTTCAAGCATCGCACAATAATCATCACCAAGACTTCTATAATGTTGTTTTACTGGCTTTGGTTATTAACACGGACGCAACGGTGACTGCTGCTGTGTAATGTCCACACTCACCACATCAGCAGGGATACTAGATGCCACTGTCTCCCGTTTCCAGCCCAAAAAATTTTCAGAAACTGCCTGGATATACGAAATCTCGCCCAATTTGAACCAAAGTCTATTGATCTCTTAGGCTATAAATCTAAAGAACATTTTTTTTTTTTTACCCATAGATGGCCATTGTAAACTGCCAGATTGGGAAACATCCCAACCTGGCAACAATGCACGTAAGACAGGAAATGTTAGCCTTTAGAGGCATTCAAACATAAATTTGCTAAATATAAGAGGAACATTGTAGTTTGGTTCAAAGAAAGCATTTGAGTTTTATTATAGTTTAGTTTGTTGCAAGGATTTTACACTTTGAAATGGAAAATTACACCATATGCCAACCGTTCTAAGGATATGCATGACAAGGAAGGGCTATAAATACTGCATGCATCATATACGGTAGGTTTTTGACATTGTATTACTTCTTGAGCTCCTTGAGGTATTTACTGTCACAGGTAGGTGCTTCGGCCAGAGAGTAAGTGTTAGAGTCGGTTTGATTTAAGGAGGGCCGGTCCTCGCACACTGAAATTAGGACCGGCACACGGTATTACAGATTACTAGTCCAAGCCTGCTTATAGCGACAGTGGAGAGTAAAAACTGCCTTTTAACAGAAAGAAAATATAGGAAGCAATAAAGCTATATGAAATGTGCTTCCATGTTTGGGATCTTGTGGCTCATTCTCCAATTTCAGAAAAGTTTTAACTGTCAGATTATCTTTGAAAGGGGTTTTATTACTTATAGTCTTTCTTGTTTCTCATAAACTTGTTTTCACCATGCATTAATACTTTGGTGTCATCTGACTCCAAAAAATAAATAACACAAATCTGTTCCCTCGTTTGCTGATGATCACTCAAATGCTTTTAATGTTCATAATGTGACTTCTCTTAAATCACAGCAAAGCTTCAAGGGTGGGCTTAAATATTTTCACTGAGCTCATATTTACTGATTTACTGTAGATACATTTCTCTTCAAACATCTAACTCAAATTGTTTGCATTTGTATTTTGTATCAGATTGGTTTTACATCAGACTACTTTGTGTTTGTTTTGTATCCTACATCTTTGGTGCTAATTATCTGCCATAATGTATTCATTTTATTTGCTTGTTTACATCAGTAAACCATCTTTTAACTTTGCTTCTACTTTTTTTTTAGTGTCTCCTAACAGTGTATTGGGGATTTAACGACCACAATGGTGGCTTTTCCTCTTTTTCTTTGCTCAGGACCTTTTCAACGAGGTTGTCAAGGATATGAAAGCTGATGCAGAAGTTTTTTGGTTACAAGGAGGCAGTCATGGACTGACGGTGAAAGGAAGGTCTGAGGAGTCTGTAATGGATGAAGTGAATTTAAAAGTGCTCCTGTGGATTAAAGAAAAAACTACTTAGAGGAATTGCCATCTGATGTTTATTGATTGCTTCGAATTATATTTAAATAAATGATTCTACAAATAAATGTGGGAGTTAATACTGCTAGCCTTATGACAAATCAATACTTTTTTGTTTAGTTTGCAAAACATTTCTTGCTCTCCTGAAATGGTTAAGCATAAAAAGAGAAGAACTGAAATATAACTTGGGAAGGCTTTATCTCTTAAAAAAAAAAAAAGCACACAAATATTTATTGTCTATTATTGGCTGACAATATATTATTACAATTTACAGTTTTTTAGTTTTTTTGTCAGGTTTGATTCTCTACCCTTGGTCATAATTTCTCTGCTGTCCTGTGAAACTAATATTGTAATATTTACAAATTTACTTGAAATACATCACTGTTTCAGCCCGTTACTTTATATTCTGGTCACCTATTATTACATTTAATTTGGCCTGCATTTTTTATATATATATATATATATATATATATTTGTATTATTTCCTCTGTAAACCAAATGATTTAATCCTCTTCCCCTTTAAAAAAACAAACAAACAAAACTGTGAAGATGCAGAACTAGCAAGACGCAGGGTGAGGCTGACAATGCCAGTATGACTGAAATACAATAGAAATATCCTTTTAGGGTTCCACTGTTGAGAAATTCAGGAATAAAAAAAAAAAGAATTATATTTGAAATATTTTTAAATGCACAGGGTTATTATTTTACCCTCTTCAAAAAATGTTAATGGAATAGAAAAAAGTGTCTTTCAGTCAAAACAATGAATCATTGAGACTTTTATTTAATAAAAGTCATTTGAATTGAAGGAAAATACATTACAAATATATATTTAAAATTGCTTTAGCAAGTTTTTAGGAAGTAACTTGCATAACAGTAGCCTTTTAATAAACAGAGGCGTAGCAGGAAAATCCTAATAGGGGTGGCTAGTTAATAACCAATGTACATTGAAGGGGGGACCGGAAAGGCACTAGAACCTCAGGGTCAGTCTACACTGTTCCAACAGGAATGAGCACAACATCCATATTTTCTAAATAAAGACAAACTATCCTTTCCTGCAGCCTTTGCTAACTAATAGACGCATATATTTAAACATCTATGCTATGTAAATAAAAGGTATATTGGACAAAATTCTTTCAAGTTTGAGTCTTGTGTGAACATATTTTATATTGTTATAACCTATTTTTATCAATAATTATTTGCAAAAAAAAAGATATTTAAACCTACTGATTCACATTTAATTTTTAAGTTATTAAAGTAGTTATCTATGATTTCACTGAAGACTGCTAGATGAATTGCAGAGGTACATAATTTTATCTTTACCCCAAATAATTCAAAATGTAGTTCTGAAAAGAGCACGAATTCTGTATCATCTTTAATGTTTGTATATTGATGTGCATAATTAACCCCAGTGTTTCTGTTGTCAAGTAGTTAATTTTTGAAAAATTTAAATGTTTAATAAGTTTGAACATTACCCTTCAGAGTGTTACTGCTGCCATCGTCTGTGTTAGAGGGAAAAAAATGGTAGGGGTGGCCAATGATTGGCTAAGGGTGGCCATTGCCACCCCTGGCCCCCCATCTAGCTCCGCCCCTGTTAATAAATAGAACTTTTGTACCATGTTGCCTTAGCAAAAAGTAGTATACTTGAAGTAAATTCTATTAAGAATATTCAAGTATAACTTTAGAAAGTATACAGAACAATGTAAATTTAGTGTACTTGAACTAAATTGGGATATTTTGAAGTTTACTAAAGTATACTTAAAGTATACTTTAGTAAACAATAAAGTAAACAATAATATAGTCAAGTACACTTGACTATACTATTGTTAACTATATGAAATATAGTTTAGAATAAGTAAACTCTAAGTGCACTGCCTGATTTTAAGTATGAAATCAGTGCACTTTTAGTATACTTGAATAAATTACTTTTTGCTAAGCCAAAAATGCGGCACCCAACTGAACCCAACCAAGTACTTGGTACGTAGTACATATGAAAGTTCCAATACTTTTGTTAATATAACTGGTTTTAAAAGAAGATGGGGGGAAAAGCAGACATTTTTATTTTATTATTTTTTCTAATATTTCTAATAGCACTACGGTGCTCACGTTGAGGGTTCAAATGTGTTACTGTTCCTTTAAGACCAACTCTGACGCATACACCGGCTGAACTCCTATTGGCTCCTCCACTTCCGTACATTTCAAGCAGAGAAGCATGGCCGCCGGAGAGCTTTGGAACAGGGTAAACATCCCCTATCCCTGTGCGACTTCATCCGTCCATATGGAAATAACTCCACCAACAGGTAAGGATTGTAAAAACGGAGCATTGCAGTCTTTGCAGCGTGGGAATTCTGACATAAACACGCAGAAATCTCCATTATGCAAACCACGTGGGGTGGCAGGGATACTGATAATTTCTATTTGTTTTGCAGTTAAATTTTTTAAAGCCCTGTTGGTGGAAAATGAAGACGTACTGAAGCTCCTTCGGAATAAGATCTTTCAGACGGAGATCCGGCTGCTCTATGAGCTGATGTTCATCCTGAACAACAGCTATAGGGGCAACAAGACCTTCAAGGGTTTACAGCTGGTAAGAAGGGTCACTTTCTACTGACCCCACGCTAGTATTTTTAAAAGTGATTATTTTTACACAAATATTTCCATCCACAATAAACTTTGCACTTTCTAATGGAGTATTTTTAAATATCTTTCAGGTTGAACAATGTATAAACAGACTGAAGAATATGAAGCTGGATACTGCTCTTCAGGAGCTGGTAGAACTCTGCCCCAATCAGATCCAAATGTATGTTTAAAAATGTATTAATCTTCTTAATGTGGGATGCTCAGTGGTGCAAAGAAGGTTCTGGGTTCGATTCCCGGCCTGGGGTCTTTCTGCATGGAGTTTACATTTTCTACCTTAGCATGCATTGGTTCTCTCCGGGTACTCCGGCTTCCTCCAACAGTCCAGAACATGACTGTTAGGTTAATTGGCTTCTCTAAAATCCCCTTAGGTGTGAGTGTGCGTGTGAATGGTTGTTTGTCTGAGTGTTGTCCTACGATGGACTGGTGACCTGTCCTACGATGGACTGGTGACCTGTCCTCTTGCCTGTAGAAAGCTGGAGATGGGCACCAGCACCCCTCGCCACCCCAGCTTGTGATAAGCGTGTTAGAAAATTTATGGATGGATGGATGTTCTTAATGTTATTTACACAATTACAGTGTTATTGCAGATCATTCCCCTCAGCAGTTGCTTGACTTTATAATGATCAGTGTTATTGTTTTAATAGCTACTGTTTAGGACTCAAACAATTATTTGGATTAATTGTGATTAATTGATTATTGAAATAATCGTCAACTAATTTAGTAATCAATTAATAAATAACTGGAGTATAGAGACTATAAAACATACCATTAACCAACAGAGCAACAGTAATTATACCAAAATTGTATAGTAATAAGTAAACATTATATCTTTAAGATAAAAAAAAAGTTTTCCATCAGTCAATATGCTCTTTCCAGAACTCCTCTAGTGGAAAAGTTTTAGTTTCACCTGGTTTAATTTCATAAAAAGCCTTCTTTAAGGAATCTTTGGCTATCCAATTATTAATTGATTAATCCAAAAAAAAAAACCTAATGGATGAATCGATTTGCAAAAAAATCGTTAGTTGCTGCCCTACTACTGTTTTTGCAATATTTTTCATTCTAGTTGTCTGTTTTGTTTTTTTCCTGCACCGTATTTAACATGTTGTTAAATATGGTTTTCTTCCATATGGCCTTTTATATGCTTTTGTGTTTTAATATCCTTTTACCATTGTATGAATCTTTCCTTCCATTTGCATTTCACTTTGCTGTTTAAACACATAATTTTCCCCACTGAAGGACGAGGTCATTTATGTTCTAATCTAAAATAGATATAAATGTATTTCATTTTCAAGACACAATGCAATTAACAAAAAAAGTTACAGTTGACAAAAGGACTCTTCTATTTACATTGATTTCAGGTTGATTATACTCTGTTTAAACTTTTTTTTTTTTTTATTGTTTCTTAGGGCCATGTGCATGGAGACCTGTGAATGCAATGTTCCCAGTCAACCGGTTCTGGAGTGGACGTGTCTCAAAGTGCTTGGAGCCGGCAAGCTTCTGAGCTGCACTTTGTCTCGCTGCAGCAAAGCTTTCATGTATCCTACTTTGTTCTCACTTTTCTAAAGATCACGATTATTACATTATATGTATCCATTTAACAGAACCTAGAGAGAATTCGTAGCATTTCTTTTTGTTGTGTTTCTTTCTATAACATGGTTATTTTTAACTGCACAGTTTGGCCCTGTTAGTTTTTCCTTTACGGATTCATTTTCAGACTTTCAAAGAAGCAGATGAAATGGGCTGAATTTCTTATTCTGAATTTGGTGATAACCAGCATGCTCAGTCGTTTGTGGTAAGAAGCCTTCTTTTTATTAATCTGTAGCTACATTATGGTGTCGAGGTTAAACCAGCCAAAGAAAAATGCTGATTTTGAGTTGGGCTGTCTTAATAAAGAATATAATCACATTCTTGATCGATTCTCATATACTTACTGAAATAAATATTCATATAACCAGAGAGGCACATTACCTGTCCTCACAGTTGAAATTAATATTATTTAATTAATTTGCTCTTGAATATTGATATAATACTACAATAAATTTGTTGCATCAGTACAATCAAGGCAATGGTAAAAAAAAAAAAAGTTTTTTTTTTTAAAGTTTTTAGGACACTAGTGGCTCGTTTTTCTGACAGTAGGCTGACAGGATTCGAACCCGGTCGGCCGGTAGCGCGCACTAACCACTGCGCTACCTGCACGCTCCCCCAAATAAAGAAATGTTTTTAATACACGCAATCCAATTTGAGATCAGATTGAATTCTTGAAAATCTGCACATCTTCTTTTGAAGCTTATTTGTCTCAGTAGTCAGAGGATAAAGTTGAAATAATTTAGATCTCAGGGTTTGTTCTTTCCTTTCAACAGGCAGCAATTATCAACTGTGTGTTTAAGCCCAGTTGACTGCATTGCTCTGCTTTAGGTTTTTCCGCTTCATTTAAAGACACTAACTTAGAGAAAAAAGTGATTTATATTTTAAAAATTTTCAGTGGGACCAGTGGGGCTACAGTGATTTACTGAAGCTAAAGCCCTTTGGGTACAAGAACATTAGAAGGCCCCATGTGCAATAAAAGAAAGATACCAAGGATCATGCAGGAACAGTGGGGTTTCATGAGCACTTCACATAAATTGGTGCCGATAACTAACATGGTTCCCCCAGAACTCAAAGCTGAAAGAGAACTGTCAACAGTAGCTTTTAAATCATTTAAAATGAAAAAATAAACAATAAGTGTGGGTGTCTTAAGTCAGAGGGTTGTTGCAGAGGCCTCCGCAGATCTTTCCTGCACATTACAACCAAGCTCAACTTTTTTTTAGAAACTTAGAGATTTTTTTTAGACTAAAAGATTAACCAATTCAGGGTTTTTTTTAGACCGATAAAGGTTATTATTGAAATCCGTCTGTTACCTGATATGTGCTGCTAATACTGCTTTTTTTTTTCATTTACATGATAAAAGTTATAAAAAAATGTTAGACAAGTATCAATTTAAACCCAAACGGCATTAAGAAACAAACATTAAAATGGAAAGCAAATGGAGCGAGAAGCAATACATGAAGCGCTTCATGTGATCTCAGGGCATGGCTGCCCTCATAAATCATAGAAGATTTTAAAAAAGACTCATATTGATCCTAAAATATCAGCTGGCTGATGTATCAGTCCAACTCTAGATAAAATATAACTATTTTTGATAACTGATAAAATATTTTGAAATGAATAAAAATTGAGGAAAAACCAACAAATAAAAATAAGCAAACAGCAATAATAAAATAATTTTAGTATGAGTGTAAAAATCTATATTTGTTTTCAATAACTGATTCTAGTTCATATTATTCATGCTTGTTAATATTCCCACCCCCAGTCTTTGGCGTCACTTTCTTGTTAACATAATTACGTTTTCATTACTTCTGCTTTTGTTAGACATTAACACAGACTTGAACTAAAAGTTGCTGTTTTTTTTTTTTTTTTAGAAAAATGTGTGTCCCTTTATTTATTTATTTTTTTTGCAGAGCTGTATATTAAATCAAGACATTATTATAAAAAAAACCATGTACAGTAGATAAGTTTATCATTTACTCTCTACATTATGCATATTTTTCATTGTTGGAGAATACGAGAAATAATTTATGATGTGTGCGCTACAGGCTTAAAAATTACCCAAAGGCATATTATTCAGTGAAAGCTGATTTTTCAGCCTGGTAAAGGTGTGTCCCATTTCCCAGTGGGATATTTTAACCACTAGTTGAATTAAATGCTAAGGAATATAAAGACCGTTAGTGGTGTGGATAACACTAAAATACCTGATTCTTCTTAAGTAGTCGGCAGTAAATGTTACTGAACTGCAGCGACGGTGATGACAGCAAGGATTATTGGTGATTATGTGTGGAGAAAATTGATGAGGAATATGACAGAAATGGAAGTCATCCAAATACCCCCTGTTTAAGTCGTTCCTCTGTGGGGCTGTAAGTTTTATAGCTCCAACGCTGCTCCGCAGTGCTTGGCTCTGTGATTGATTTCTGGAAAGCAGGAGTACATAAAAAGCTATTTCTGCCAATTTTTGCATCCGTTTTTATTGTAGCTAATTAAATCAGCAGGAAAAGACTTTTCCCCCCTGAGAATACATTCTTGGCTTCGGGTTGTTTTGTGTTGTACATTCAGTAATTTAACAGATGAAAAAAAAAACCTATGAAAACATCAGACTGGTTAAAAAATCAACTGCTGTTGTTATCAATATTTTTTCTCCTTTTTTTTATTGCTCAGGTGTTTTTTCCGTGGTTTGTTGGCTAGCCTTTCCAATCTGTACCAGTGGCTTCTGAAGCTCCTGGGGCTTGTGGCCCAAGCCCAGCCGATGCCCTACCTCACCGACACAGCCTTGCCAGCAGATATGGCTGATTTCCTTGATCCAGCGGATGCAGTCATGCTGAGGAAGCTTTCAGCATTCAACGCTCATCTAGAAGAAAGAAAAGCAAAATTGAAAACAAGAAAGAAAGCCTCAGCTAAAGTGAAAAACAAGAAACAGCCAAAGAATGTAAAAGAAGACCTTGGGGTTCCTGTAGAAAGAGGTATGAAGTCACCTGATTATACAAGCACTAAAGCAAGCAATGCGAGAGGAAAGAATATCTTCATTTATCAGATTCTGTTTGAGAAAAAAAAATCTTTTTCTATCCAATTATTACAAAAATCTCTTTGCAGGTGTCTGTTTTGATGCTGTTAAGCAGCTGTCTTTTGGAAAGGTTAGTGACATTTTTATGCTTTTAACATGTACCATATGCAATGCCCTCTACATGTATTACCAGCTCTTAAAGATGATAAAGAGCCTTAGAATAATCTGTCATGGCTCTAGTATCTTCTTTAAAACAAATATCTGAGCTTAAGTTAATTTTAAGTATATCTATTCAGTTAAGAATTGTTTTAAACCTTTTTTTGTTATATTCTTCTCCTGTGAAAGACTCATAGTATTCGAAGAACTTCTAATTATTAATCCATGACCTCCTGTGGTCAATTTCTTATAGTCACTCCTTGAAAAGTAGAATATCTAGTCTAGTAAGGTAGATATACACTGTTCCAAAAAATAAAGAAGTGCATCAAATGCTCAACTAAAAAGCAGCAGTGTCTCCTCTCAGATCCCAGTGGGGACTAAGCTCCCAGAGAGTCTGAGTTGCCTCTTTGTGGTGTCGGATGGTGCCGAGATGCCCTGGATTTAGGCCAGGAGAGCATGGAGGCCATACATGGTATCCATCCTTCATCCTCCTGACATGTCTGCCTACTCTCGCCACATAAGGCTGGGTTTATCTGCGTTTGGAGGAACCTTTGCAACAATGAAAGGTCTAGCAATGGACTTGATCCTGATGTCTAATGGGAATCAGAGTGCCAAAACTTATCTTGATCTGATCTGTGTGTCCATCAATGGATGGGCCTCCCATAGCCACCAAACTGATCATGCTTAACTACGTTTTAGGTAATATAGTTTTTTAGCCTCTGCAGACCCTCCCTAGTTTATCACATGATCTCGGAGTATTCTTGCCATCATCTGTGCAAAACAGAAAGGCACCAGTGCAAAGCGTATGATGATGATGATGTTGATGTTGGCCAATAATCGGATGTTCTCTGACTCCATTTGAGCTCCATGCTTTCAGGCACTGAGGCTACTGGATGAAGACAAGCCAACAGGCAGACCTCAGAAGTCTGTTTTATGGTTTGCTCAGAGATTCATACCAGTGGCCTCTCTAGGTCTTTTGGTTTGACTCTAACAGTCCTCATCCGTTTCCTCCTTATGCAAGATTTACTGCCAGAATGTGCCTGTAGAGACAGCAGACCCTCTAATAATGGCAGATATTGATGCAAAATCCTGCTGGAGTTTGAGTGCCTGTACAACCTCTGTAGGGCCCTTAAACTACTAAAAAGCAGTCACCAAATGAGTGGGGAAATGCAAACACATTCAATTATTTCATAGAAGGATTTAAAATTTATTTTAAGTGTGAGAGATCAAGATGATGCTCATTGAAAGCTTTGAATGCATCTAAAAAAAACACTTAAGAAGGGAGATGTCTAACTATTTTATTTATTTAACATTTATGTTATTTTGATCACAAAGGAGGTGTCAGAAGAACAGAGCAAGAAAGAAATATTTGAGAAACTAACGGGTGAGGCTACATCATTTGCACTCATGTCTGCCAGTATGGAAGAGATGATTCAGTGGTGCGGATCTGAAGGGATGAGGAAGACAAAACGTCTCCTTACATTCCTGCGATTAAAGTGCAAAAGGATGAAGTGTCTGGAAGCAGCAGGATACAAGTAAGATGAATAAAACATAAAAATAATAGAAGTTCAGCCATAACTTTGGACTTCTTTGACACATTTTGAATGCTAACTGCTCTCATTATCTGGCCCTTTCTCTCAGTGTTCAGAGGAAACTTCGCCTCTTCAGACAAGAAGTGTGCTTGGCCTTATCTCCCCAGACATCAGCATTGAGGACTTTTCGTTTTCCGGCTCAGAGGATGACTGTCCAAAGACGCCGTTCACAGCCGCTGAGGAAAAGATTTATGGTATCTAGAGCCAGGACTGGTTTAAATACATCAAGAGTGTTTGGACATCAGAAACAGAATGAGCTGGAGATGTTTTTAAAAGATTTCCAAAGAAGCCAGGCTGCAAGCAGGACAACTCTACAGGTCACTAATTCTGATAGAAACGACGACATAGATGATATCTTTGCAATAGCAGGTTTATGACACTAATAACAACGCAGAGTGAAGGTCAGTCCTCCATGTGAAGTGCATACATGCTAAGTGTAATATTAGAACAGTCATTGTATACCTGCTAAATGTTTACAACTCATCACAAGATTCAAAACAAAATAAACATACAGTATGTAGATATAATGCACACTTTTAGCAAAGCTTTTATTTCTGTTCTTCATAACTGACAAAAGGGTTTTGAATTTTTTTTCCCTTAGCCTAGGATGTTTTTTATATTAGCTTAAAAAAAACTTTATTGCCATTTTGTACACACAGAGTGTAAACAATACGACATTTTGATGCATAAAGCTTTTGAACAGTGAATGAGCAGCTTACAGCAGTGAAATGAACATTAACATTTATAAAGTGAAGCAGTGATCACAATGTAAACGGTATAGGAGAAAAGGAAAACCAGGTTAAACTTTAACTTCATGTTGTAAAAGGCAATGGTAAGGAAATGTTCTGTGCAGTGCAAATAAATAATGTTCGTGAAAAATGCAGTAGAATATTAAGTTGTTTTCTATTTAAAGGGATTATGAAAAAAATCACCCATGTTGGTAGTGCAAATATGTTTACAAGTGTGATGCAGAGTCTGTTAGAGTTTCAACAGTTCAGCAGTCTAATGGCAGTAGGAAAAAGTTATTGCAGAACCTGCTGGACCTGCATCCAATGCTGCAAAGCCTCATCCCAGAGGGCATCAGGGAGACCAGTCCATGGTGGGGATGTGAGGGGTCATCTATAACGTTACGGGCTCGGGACACGCAGAGCTTCCATGAAATTTCTTTAATGGAGGGAAGAGGAGCCCCGATGATGTTCTCTGCGGTCTTCACCACACTTGTCAAGTTTTTCCAGTCTGTGGCGCTGCAGCCTCCACCCCCCACAGGGAGACAGCTGGTCAGAACGCTCTCTATGGTGCAACTGTAGACGGTTTTTCAGAACGTTGTGGGCAGGTGGGCTCACCCATCCTCCGTAGGAAGTAAAAGTTCTGTGTCCTTTTGATCAGTGAGGTGGTGCTTACAGTCCAGGTGGGGTTGTCTTGGATGTGCAGACCCAGGAATTTGCTGCTGCTGACCACCTCCACAGCTGAGCTATCGATGACCATGGAGCGTGGTTAGGCCGGTTCCTCATGAAGTTGGTGATGATCTCCATCTTCTACAGGTTCAGGATCAGGCGGTTACCTCTGTACAAGCCCACCAGCTGCTCCACCTCCTCTCTGTAGTCCTGGTCATTATCATCTCTGATGTTAAAAATGTCACTGGGCAAAAAAGTGACATCCGGACCATAGAAATAGTAAATAAGGGTAGATGAATGTCACTACTGTTGATATTTCCAGCATCACAGGATGTTGTTGGCAAATAATCAGTTGATGTCAGAATTTGATGACGGTATGTTTTTCAAAACTAATGGGGGCATCCGGAAGCTTAGCAGTTTTTTTATTCCTTGCCAAAGAAAAAAACAGTTTATCAGTAATAATGCTACTTATTTTCTTTGGACATGTGACCTTATCCAGATTTAGTCGTGGTTATTTAAGTCCTTTTTTCCCTAAAGCCCATAAAGTGAGCATCTTATATGTGAAGTCTACTGAATAGTAAAGAGCTTTTAGGGTGTAGATAAGAAATGAAGAATGTCAGTACAGTAAGATCGTTAATCTAAAACCCAGCATATTATTGAGTTACATTCACCGTTTCCTCCGTAAAAATCCAACACAGAATGTATGTGGTTATGAGTTGCTTGGATGTAAGTTTAACATTTTTTAAGCTCCTGAGGATATATGGCAGCATTAGTGCTGCATCGGTACAGGAAGACTATCTTTACCTCCCTCAGCCATGAATTTCCCGCCAGACAACGACTGAAACCAAATTGTTTCTTGTTCTAATAGCATTTTAGAGTAAATAATGGTTCCCGTTTTGATAGCATATGACTGTAAAATAAATGGTTCCTCTTGAGTCATATCAGTATTTTAACTGCATGGTGTTCTATTGGTATAAAGGAGGCTTTGTGAGTAGGAAGAAAACATAAGCCTGTACTGCTATGATGTTCCCTTTAAATAAATCTAACTGAACAGAAAGTTTGGGGCTGGGAACAAATCTATTGCCTTTATTACTACTTTTAGCAGTTGGACTTTTTCTTCGTTTATATTTTAATTATAGGATTAGAATTCTCCAGGATTTTTTACATTGTGGGAAAGAATAGAATTTTGATTTTTATCATATTACTTGTCTTTACAAGTATGGAATGAAGAAATTTGTGAAAACACTTTTTTTTCTTCCAGATTTTGTTCCTTTATGTTTTACATAAAAAGAAATGAAATGTTAATTAATTCTTCACAATTAATGTTTTTTTTTTACATGAAGGTATTTTGATATGCTTAATTTCTTTTACCAAATCACACCGTTTTAACATTTATGATTTATTTTCTGACATGAATGAAAACACCCAAACTCAGATAAAAGGGACTTTTTATTGTTGGTTTGGTATCTTAAAAAACTAAACTCAGACGAAATGTTGGTCCTTAGACTGGGTCGTAATGGGTCTTAAAATGTCTATGTCAATAAAAGCATGATTTCTAGGGTGTTTCTTTTTTTAAATAAAAAATGATGTAAAAGATGTTCACTTACTGTGCTTTAAGACAACTGTTTTTAGCTTAACCCTTCATTATTTGGACATGTACATGAATCACAGATTTTAAAACGGGTAATTTGAATAACTCTAAATCCCTACAGTGTAATGGCCCCAAATTGCAACAAAAAAACTTCATTATTGTTAATTGGAGCCTAATGTTAGGACCCAAGTCGCATGGGGGTCACAGAGGTACTGCAGGGGGCTTTTAAGATTCAGTCCCAACTCTTTCACTCTTCTTCAGAACAATTGTGGATTGACAGAACCTGATGTTCATTTTCCACAGGTTTTCTGAAGCTGAAAAGTAATAAATGGTTGGCATTTGTATCTCCTCTACTTCTGAGGTAAGTGCAGCTGCCTTCTATTGTTGGTAAATCACATCAGTATAAATGCATCCGTTTTCAGAAAGTATCAGAGGTTTGTTAAATATCAATATTGTATAAACTGCATCACAACACACTGGACAAATGATTGAACAGCTGTTAGATATGGCGGTGGCAGTATTGTGCTGTGGTGATACGTTTCTCTTGCTAAGTAGATGGGAGGATTAATGGAGCTAAATGTAGGGAAGTAGGAAAAATTTAAGCTCTTGCAAAATACTTTAAACTGGGGCAGAGGCTCACTTTATGGAAGGACGATAACCCATAACACAGCCAGGTCTAAAGAAGATCGCTTTGGATTGCAGTGTTTGCATGTTAAAATTTAAGCTTTATCAAAAAGAAAAGTTTTAAGCCTACCCTTAAAAGTAGACAGGGTGTCTGCCTCACGGACCAAAACTGGTAGATGGTTCCACAGGAGAGGAGCCTGATAACTAAAAGTTCTGCCTCCCATTTACTTTTAGAAATTCTAGGAACCACTAGTAAACCTGCAGATTGAGAGCGAAGTGCTCTGTTAGGAACATAAGGAACAATCATATCTCTGATATAAGATGGAGCTTGGCCATTTAAGGCTTTATATGTGAGAAGAAAATACTTAGATACTTTGTGAATTGTCATTTTTTTGTAACAAAATGGTAAAGTGAAAGGTATATGAAGACAGTCTGCTGCCTAAAAACAATGAATGTCTTCATATTTACAGTTATGTTTTTTTTTTCATTATCAAAAAGACTAGAAAATTGTCTCAAACCTGCTGTTAAGATCAATGTTACACAACGTAGCTCAGCAATGACAAATGCATCACATTGCAAATAAAAGCTACTGTATGATCACCTCCTAAAATGTTGTATGGATCCACCATCTTAATAATTTAACTTTATTGATCCCACTTTGGAGAAATTTACCTCTGCATTTAACCCATCCCCTTGGGGAGCAGTGTGGGGTAAATTCTGTTGTTCAGGAACCCAGAGTGGAGGCTGTGGGGGATTGAACCCCTTACCCGAAACCCTCATAGAACCACTAGGCCAACACTCCCCTGGAAGGATCTAACTTGATATTCTGTCTATCCAGATAATGTTAAGGATGAGAATAAAAATGTTCAACTTTAAGATGACTAGCTACCTCTTTTGAAGCTGTTTTAAACATTGGTTTGCCAATCTTTCTTAAATTACTCAAATATACTTCATTCCCTATGGGGGTCTTTCTTAAAAGATCAAGTTATGACTATATTGCCGCATTTAATTTTGAGACCATATTAGGCTAAAATGCAACAATTTCCAAGTCATTGTAATTTTTTGACAGCTGGTAGTGTATTAACAGTTTAAGTGCATTAAAAATGTATTTTTATTGTTTTTTTTTTTATGGGAAAAAAGAAAGTCAGAATTGTGACTTAAATCTCAGAATTCTGACTTTTTTCTCTGAATTCTGACAGCTAACAAACATGTTAACATCAAGCTGTAGCCATGTCTGTTTTAGAGACTAGCTCTTTTGTTTTAATGACCTTCTGCTGCTCCATTAATGAAGTAACATCACCGGGGACCCCTCTGGCACGTAAAAAGTTGCCTATTTCGTCATTTTCCACCAATGTGTCACTGGCCCTCCCAAACAACTCTCATCTTTGTCAGTGAAGCTGAGTGCTCCCACATCTCTTCCTTCATGGTGACCATCTACATTAAGATCCAAAACTCTGAGATTAAAGTCATAATTCTGAGAAAAAAGTTAGAACTCTGAGAAAAAAGTTGGATTTCTGAGATTAAAGTCAGAATTCTGTAGCCTGGGTGCCAGTCAGAACTTAGTCCCGCCCACAAGGTTTGAGTTCGGGGAAGTTCGGTCTGGCTCTGCTCCATAGTAGCGCGAGCCCACTGTCAGGCGATCCAATCAAATTGTCAGGGCGGACTTTATACGATGATGGACAGATGATCAAGAGTAACGTTATCAACCACGTGACCAATGCGCGCTTGGGTGACAACAATAATGGCTGCCGCTGGAGAGTTTAGGTGAGTAGATTCTGCTATTAGGTCTGTTCTAGAAGATATCGACAGCAAATTAATTTTAAAAGAGGAACAGAGAAACGCGATCAAGGCTCATCTTCTTATTCTAGGCGTGCAACTGCACGCTTTGATTTTTGTGGACAACAACTATGCCTCGCTTAACATACGTCACGCACTCCGTTGCTCTTATTGGTTGTAGGTCTATCCAATTGAGTGCAGAGGCATTTTTTTTCCTGGTTCGTTCAAAACACGCCCCATAATCACAGCTCTATGGAGCAGTATCAGACTCATATTCTGACTAGAATTGAGTCGGACTACGTCAGGCTAAGAATTCTGAGAAAAAAGTCGGAATTCTGGGCAAAAAGTCGGAATACTGAGATTAAAATCAGAACTCTGAGAAAAAAATTCGTAATTCTGAGCAAAAAGTCAGAATTCTGAGGTTAAAGTCAGAATTATGCGAAAAAAGTCGGAATTCTGAGATTAAAGTCAGAATTCTTTGAAAAAAGTGGGAATTTGAGCAAAAAGTCGGAATACTGAGATTAAAGTCAGAATTCAGAGAAAAAAGTCGGAATTCTGAGCAACAACTCGGAATTCTGAGATTAAAGTCAGAATTCTGACTTTTTTCTCATATTACTGACATAAAATGTAAAAATCTGTTAACTTTTTTTTGGTTTTTCAGTGGCCCTAATCCTCTTCCGTACATTTGGGTTTGGTTTCATTCTCGTAATTTTATAAACAACTGTGATCTCATAATTTGCTTTTGTACCCTTCTTCTAACGTACAAAAAAAAAAAAAAGCATGGTTGTAACTTTTAAGGGGCGCAAGGACATCGCGTCACTTCCTGTCATGTGTTGTTTTTACTTCCGTAAGGTGGGGCTTTGTTACGGGAGCGGTTTGTAAACCAATCCGTAGGTCTGTGCTCTGAAAGCTTTCGGCTAGATATCATCCACCGAGGGAGAAAATAGGAACTTCGGTAAGGCGTCAACATCTTCTTATTTAAGTAAAGCGTAACTATGTAATTAATAGTATAGCCCATAAAAATGACACCATATTACCTTTATTTAGAAAGGCTGAGTGGAGTCTGGAAATGCTGACCATTTAACGGGAAATTGGTCTACAATAATGTAATGTGTGTGTTGTGATGGTTTGCAAACCCTTTTCCTAATCATAAAACTCGATTTTTAGTAAAAAAAAAACACTGATAAAACTGATAACTCCATTTCCCTCGACCTGTGCTTATTTTGAATGGCTCAAATAGAAGTTAACAGAACGTTTTTTGAAGCTTTTTTTTTAAATTTTTTTATAAAGCTCAAGTATACCTCCTTTTCTATTCATTTTGTTAAATCTCCACTAACTTGTACGTTTTCCGAGAGTTAAGTTGAACAACAGTTTCTCCTATCAGGAACTGCTCTATTAACTCTTAACTGCTGTAAAGTTTTGGCTCTGAGAGGAAGACCCACCCAAAGTAGCCTCTAGCTGATGTTGAACATCTGTTTGTATCTTCAGGCTATGTAATTTGACCCAGTCTATAAGACACCACTCTAAGCTGTCTGTAATTTTTATATTGTTCATTTTTACCTGTCTAAAATGATGTTGAATTACAGAGATCCATAGCGGATGGAGTCACAGTCAGTTTAGTCAGTTGGCAGGGGGTTGTTTATATATAAACAGTGTTTTGTATAGATGATGGTTTGTGCTCTGCCTGTTTTTAAATGTGAGAAAGAGGGTGGAGGGTGCTGGCAAAGCAACAAACACTTCTTCCATCTCATTAGTAGTGACAGGTTCATTTATGTAGCAGGGGAAGTGAAATTTGTACATCCTTTCTGGGCAACCTGCTGCATAAACTTGTTGTTTTAGGATCTGCATTGAGTCATCCTTCCCATAAACAACTCGTGAACAGAATGCTGAGCCCAGCACATTCACAGCATTTTCATGGTAACCAGCTTAGGAATTGCTCAGCAGTCTTGCAGGGCTTGGCCTGGCTTTTAAAAAGCTTTTGCAGAGTATTTTCTTAATACTTTTATTTGTGATTTTATATCAAAAGTTGTTTTTACCCAACACTCTGTCACAGATAAAAAGCAAAAGTCATAGTTATCGATTATGTAAATGTGCTAATCTTTAAGTCTACCTGTTGTTTTAGGTTTGTTTGTTGTTGTTTTATTTTATTTTTTTTACATAACCTAAAAACTTTGTCCAGGCATTTTCACATATAATTGGCACTATT